AATAACCGAACTTAAATCTCTCAATTTGCCGGCGAAGAGATCTCTGCGAGCTTAAATATTTGATGGGGGCTTTGTGGTATGTGGCATGCATCAGAAAGCTCTCTCGATATACGAAATATTTAAATGAATTACAATTCCGACTAATGCCCGACATGGCCAACATTTGTTTTCTATCACTTTGTTTGTTTTTCTTTCTCTGGCTGCATATTTCCATTTTCAGATGCCAAAAATGTAAGCCAACCGTCAAAAATAAAGGATATTCGATTTCAGAGATAGAAACCATAAATATAAATAGATTTATGCTTTGAACGTTGCATAAAGAAATACTAAATATAAAACTATAGGAATATATCAAAATAGAAATCTTTTAGTTTAATTTTAAAGATATATTAGAGTATTTAATTTATAGCTATGACCGAGGGTATTACCAGCTTCGACCTCTGGACACTGCGGCAACATTCTGCGTTTGCTCTCAAACTGCAGTTTTTATATATTTTATTAGTAGATAAAAAATGCATTGAATGTTATTTATTTCACGCCCCGCTTGCAGAACATGAAATAAGCTGGAATTCAAATATTTGTTGGACTTCTATGCTCGCCTATATTTGCATTGTTTTACATTGATAAAAAATAGCGCGGAGAAGGGCAAATGGGAAATTGCGTTCGCTGACAATTTGTTTCCCTGCCGAAGGGCTTACGCTTGAATAATTCAACAAAAGCTGCTGGCAATTGAATATTAATGAGCAATTAGCGGAGGACCCTCAACGCGGATTCGAACTAATAACTAACTGCAGCAGCTAAGCCACGGCCAACGCTGCGTATGCGTGATATTTATTACGCACTCCCAAAAGGGCCATAAAACATCGGCGAGCCAAAGAGTTAACTAAGGTGCCAACACAGCGAGCGATATAAATTATTTGCAACAGACTGATTGGCAAAAGCAATTGTGTGCGAGCGGGGTAAAATGGAAATGGAAATGAAAATGGGGAAAATGGGAAACAAAACCGGGCAAGCAATCCAACTGAAGCTGTATACATAACACAGCTGCAACCGCAAGAGAGTGTATGTGGGGAAAATCGAGAGGAAAGAAGGACAAGTGGCGAGAAAAAAGGCTCAGGCTGGCAGGCAGGGGCCAGGCATGAAAGGCCGCTCAGGACATGGGAATAAGGCGCAAACACTCGACTCCAAAGATAGAGAAAAATGGCGCATGAAATGAAGCGGAAATGGTGCAAAAGGGAGTTCTCCACACACACACAAACACACACATCCACTACTATACTGTGGCAACCGGAAGCGGCACTGGAACGGGAAAGGATACATAGGGCGGTCGGGCAGAGAGCCACTTACAGAGCTGAACTAATATGTACATTAGTATCTTTTGAATGCATGCGAACAACTGATAAATGTCTGGTCTTGCATATCTCTGCCTCTGAGGTTGCCTCTGTGTGCCCTGTGTGTGCCTGTGTGAGTTTGCGGTGAATGAAATCGAGCGTCGCATGAAAAATGTATGCCATTTATTTTACTTTATTTTAGTTTCCCCTTCTGCCCCCTGTTTTTTTTTTTTTCTTTTTTTTCCCTGTTTTCCCTGAGCCCTAACAACAGCAAACAGCTGGCATTGGCAAGAGCCAAACAATGAGACATCGCTTTTGGCTTGCTTTCGGAAAACTGCACTTTGATGGGCCACACACACACACACTCGCTCATGCACAACCCCGCACACACACACATAGGCGGCATGCCGAACTATTGTGTCATGTGCCATCGGGTTGACTTAGTAGTTTACATGGGAAATGTCACTTAAAGGCAGATAGAGATATAATATTTGTTACTATAAGAACCTCAATTTAATAAAAATTATGATCTAGAATCTTAAAAAGGAATAGAGAGCAAGACTCCTAGATTTTCAGGACTGTAAAAAAGCTGAAATATATTTGTTGACTATATATTATATGTTTCAAGATGGAGGTATTAAAGCAGAACATTTTAAATTTCAAATTTTCCTTTAAGTAAACACTTAACCCATATTTCATTATATATATTTTTATACCCAAAGCACTTTTAGTAATGCCTTTCGCCTACAACTTAATTTACGCCCCTCGTTCTTTAGTTATTTACTTGATTTATGACTTGGCACGGGGTAAACATCCAAGGCAGAAACAACCAACTAAAAAATGAGAATGAGAATGAGAACTATTGCATAGATAGGCAATTTTCGTAATTGCTGCGATGCGGATACGACTGCGAATGGGAATGCGAATGCGACTGGGTCGGAGGAGGAGGAGGCGGACGATGAGGAGATGGTCAGGAGCTGAGTGCGGTGAACCAAAGTTGATTTATAGCCCAGTGTGTCCTGCGCTCGGCCTGCGCTGCTTCAAAGGACACACTGCATAAATATGCGATAAGCTCGACGACTATAAAAAGCGAGTGACATTCTCACACACACTCTGCACACACACACACACTCACTCACACACACACTCACTCACTCACTCACACAGGGAACATTTGGCATACACTTGCATAATGTATGCAGGCGACTCTCTGCCGGACAAGCTGCGAACCGCAACAAGTGCACTCACCATGGCCGAAGGGGGTGGACAGTGGGGCAGGTGGGGACAGAGGGGGTTACAGGTGCGACTAGGTGTGCATTTAAGCGACATGTGTCGTCTTCACACTCAACTGCACCTCAAACGAGCCCAGAGCCGCGCACGTTCCCACGTCCTACAGCACACACTCCACAGGGCAAGTCCACCAATCGTTTACTACAGTAGAGACTCACCAGTTTCTTTTACCAACCCTAAAAACCTATATTTTTTAGTCTGGAAATCTTTGCAGAATTTAAATCATCAATTTTACCTCTTCCGGAAATCCCCAACTTTGCTAACCCCTATTATTTCAGCATACTTAAAACCATTATTTACTTCCCTTGAATATCGATTAATCAGTTTCCAATTAAACTTTAGAATCCGATTTCCCCCGCTATAAGTTCCCCTGTAGTTTGCCTTGAACACTCATGGCTTGGCATAAACTTCCGCATTAAATCGACTTTGAACTTGAAAACGTTAGTTACATGGCCAAACACTCGATCGCCTTATCACACTCGTGTTGGCATTTGAAGGCTATTGTGGTCGGAACCTGCTGCTCAGGTGGCTGCGCAATAGGGCCTTTTTGTCCGGAATCAAGCTCAAAGGATTCAAAGGGGAGAGTCAGACGTTCTTGGTAACAAAAAAAAAATAAAAGAACAAAATGCTCTCTATTCAGGCAAAGGATGGAAATTCTGCTCGGATGCAACTCAAACGTAGAACTCTTATGCGAGAGACAAAGGCCAGAGCAAGTAGCTGCTAATAAAGTCAGGAATGCAAAAAAGGAAGCAAAGTCAAATCAAAAAAAAAGCCATTAAAGATTTCCTGAACACTCATATGGGATGAGGTTTTAATGAGCAAAAATGTTGCTCTAGTTTTCCAATGGAAATTTAACTTCTTTCGTAGATACATTGTAGATGTTAAACTGTTCTTGGGAAATGTAAAACCCACAGCATGTTTACGTTCTTTTATCTTCATGATATTTTAATAGCATTTACCATTTTATTTCCCTGCTGTAATTTCAATGGCATAATTAGCTGAATAAACACTGTAGTGCAGTCAGTGGAAAACATATTCATGGGAAAAGTAACGCACACATTTTCAAATAACTCTTTGACTGCCTTCCCTATAAAAACAACAACAAAGTACCGTGCATAATTTAGAAGCACTCCGCACCTTATCTATGTGGCAGTGGCACAACCCTTATTTCTTGCAGCTTAAGGCTAGCACAAATCATATCAGCAAGTTAGCCATAGACTGCAAGATCCTGGGATCCTAGACTATAAACTTGGTGGGCATTAAACATGCAACATTTTCGCTTTGGGTTTTATGGCGCCGCAATGTGTACTATGCAGTGGTACCAGAGACACACATTGAGGCACAGTTGGGGGCAAGCAAATAGGAATTTATATCAAATGAAATATGGGAAAATGGGAATTGTCTAAAATGCAGTTGAAAGGAATTCAATTAGATGGAATTAGCTGGTAAAAATAAGAAGGAATCTGACAATAAGTTCTTTGACAATGATATATAGAAGGTGTACAACCATATTCAAGTCTTTTAAATTACTCTCACCTGTATGTTGTAATTCTTAATTCCCCATAATAACTACTAATTTCATAACCTTCATCGTAACCCTGCACATGTAACTACATGCGATGACATTTTACCAAGCCCCGGCTTCGCTCTTGGGGTATTTGCCATCTTTTCTGCTCTCATTTTATGCGTTTTAAATTTATTTTGCTGCCTCCTCTGTCGCAACAGTGGGACAAAGGACGAAAAGGACGACGTGCAGAAAGGGGGGCGAGTGTGGGAGAGACGAATGAAGCCGCTGGCAATGGCGCCTGTCGCACGCACGCAAAACTTCCGCCACGTATGCGTAAGGATATGCCTCATGTATGTATGTGTGTGTGTGTGTGTAAGTAGCTGTCCTGGGGCAAAAAAAACACAAAACGAAAAAACAACGCATGGCTTGCCTTCAGTCTTCATATTTATTTATCGTGCCAAGTGATTCCGTGTAATTGCTGAAATTGCGTTAAATTATTTAACAAGCGGGCACAGCAATGGCGGTGGCAGCATTTCAAATTCATTTACACTTTACGCACAATGCGGAAAGGAAATTGAATACAATAAATTTTCGGCTGGCGAGAAATATATTCCGCAGACCCACAGGAAATTATTTCCCAGCGCAAAAATCAACCGCAGAAATTGAATTTCAAGCATTTTTAAATATTAGGTGGTCCCTGGTTGTGCGCTCTGATTTATTATCTAATTTCATTTTTATTGGTGCAAGGGTTACAAGTTGTGGATAAATATTTAAATTACATTAGAATGTGTTCAAAGTTCTAACATTCACTACGTAAACCCTTAATATTTAAAAGTATTTCCCAACTCCATTTTTATTTGTTTTCATTGCAGAATGCCACCCATAAGGCCAACAATTGGGCAGCAGGCAATCGGATGCGAAGGATATGAAAATAGCACATCAATTGAGCCATAAACACACGACAGCAAACGGAAGAGCTTAAATAAACCAAAAAACGTATAAATATATATATAAAAATAAAAACCAAGAAAAAAAGAGTACAAAGCAGCAGCGTCGTCGTGCAACAATCAACAGCACAAAGGAAACACTGCCAGAAGAAAATCTAAAAAGAAACAATATAACAACAAACAAAAAGAAAAGAGCACACTGGAAGGAACTGGAACTGGAATAAGAGGAAGTCGGAAAGAAGGAAAAGTGAAAGCCAAAAGCCCAAATTGTAAACGCTCCATGTAAACACTTGAAAGCTCGTTAGGATAATACATCCTGCCCGGCACCGAGCACACACACTGCTGCTGACACACCACACACATACATAAAGAGAGACAGGAGACCAGGAAGCAGCCAAAAGTGTCACCATGCGCCGCCCCGCCTGTCTGAGTGGCCGCCATCACCTGATACAGCAACAGCAACAGCAACAACAACGGCACCACCTAAAAACCCCACCAAAATACAACACACCCTTACACACGTCACACGGGAGCCAGCAGCGGGCCATTGCCATTGCCATTGCCATCGCCATCGCCATTGCATAGTCGCGCTTCCGTTTCCGCCTACTCCTCATTTCCGCTGCGGCTGCAATTAAGCGAAAAGAAGCGACGCAACGCGAAGGATCCTAAAAAAAAGACACACAGCACCGCGAATATCCACAAAAATGGCGCACGAGACCAGCTTTAATGGTGGGTACACATGGCAGCCACACACATTACCCTCAGGTCATTGTTTTAAAACATTTTATTGCATCACAGAAATTGTGCGAGTTTAACACATTAAATTGGGTCCATTTAAGAAGATATTGAAGGAATATTATTTTCCATTAGATTTAAAGTGTGGATACTTAAGTTCCCAGTACTTTCAAGGCAATTTCTAGGGAATTCAAGTTATAAATTAAAATATATTAAATAAAGAAATCAAATACAAAAATTCAGAAACTTCCCAATTATTATAAACTAATTATCTCTCTCACTTTAAGATGCTCTGGACTACATTTACATAGCGAACAGCGTGAATGACAGGGCCTTTCTGATAGCCGAGCCGCATCCCGAGCTGCAGAGCTCCGATGGCCAGGAGGAAGAACAGGACCAGGACCAGGACGAGTCCGAGGCCGAGGAGAACCTAACAGCCCCCAAGGCAGTCGCCCAGCTAGAGGACACCAACAACAACAACAGCAACAGCAAGCGATACTATAGCTCTGGGAAGCGGCGTTCCCGCCTCAAGGGACCTTACTCCCAATCGGCTCTGAAGCCTTCAGCACCGGCCGCCCTGCCCACCGAACCACCGAGCAACGCCACCGGCTCACCGCTGGCCACCGCCGCCTTGGCAGCCGCAGCGGCCAGTGCCTCCGTAGCGGCGGCGGCGGCCAGGATAACAGCCAAGGCGGCGCATAGGGCTCTAACTACGGCTACGACGACCAAGGCAGAGGCATCGGGACCGGGATCGGGTTCACCGCCAACCCTTCAGCTGATCGACATGGACAATAACTTTACCAACGTGGCCGTCGGACTGGGGGCGATGCTGCTCAACGACACCCTGCTCCTTGATGGCAACGATACTGGCCTCTTTGGCGAGATCATGATGACCAACCGGAGCGGGCAACTGGAGCTGGCCAATGGCAGTGCGGGCATTAATGTGACCACCAGCAAAGTGGCCGAGGATGACTTTACGCAGCTGCTGCGAATGGCCGTCACATCCGTGCTGCTGGGACTGATGATACTGGTCACTATAATTGGTGAGTATAAGGGAAGGCTACACTGGGGAGTACTACATACTGTTCTGAAATTATTAGCTAAAAAACCCCTTTATAGCCAGTCTCTTAAAAAATCGGTCAACTTCTTCAAGCTTCAAGTGTAAGCCAAAGCCCAAACATAGACATAATTATTTCAGTCGTAGAACCCAGTTTCCCTGCCGAGCCCGAAGCCCGTCCAAAATAAATTCCTTGAATGCCAGTCTCAGGCACGCGCCTCCTTCAAATCCTTGGGGAATATGGCAAGCAATTCAATAAGGCGGAAGGAGGGAGAGGAACGGAAAAAAGAGGAACGAGGAAAGAGGGAACCTCCTCCTGGGTGGCGGCTTCAGTTGTAGATAATAAAATACGCGTAACTGATATTTATGATACTGGGGCAGGGCATTTTATATTATTTATTATTGTTGTTATTATGGCTCAGATGCTGAAGCAGCTCAGTCTCAGTTATTAATAAGGCAGCTCAATGACGAGGAACGGCAATGGGAATGGGAATGGGAGTGGGATTCGAATGGGGAACGAGGCCGGGGAATGGATCTCGCTATTGTTGCTGGCTACATTCATTACACGCATTTAGCCATAAATCCAATGGCAAACAAACCGGCATCCATCTAGGCAAAGACACGCCGCATTAAAATTGACAGTCAATCAATCAATCACAGTGTACATATATATGTACCACAGCCTCCTCCTCCTCCTTCTCCATCATCCTCAAATGGCCGAAAACTTTATGTTCAAGTTGTAAAATCCAAACAAAATGTATAAAAATCAAGCAGAGCAGCCGGCTGAAATTGATTTCATTAATTTAAGTAGATTTCATTTCATTTCATTTCGCTTAAAACGGGCACAAAAGTCAAGAGGCAAATAAAAATAACGACGACGAGCGCTGAAAAGTATGCTACGATTCTTAGCGCCGCCTCCTTCTCCCCAAAAGGACCCCGGCAGCCATTCACATGTCTCGCTTGCTCTCACTTGTTTTCATTTCTGATTTCCTACTAATTTGTGTTTATTTAGTTTTTCTTTCTTCCGTTTCCTTTCCCTTCCCTTCCCCCCTAGCGCTGCCTTTAGTTTTCCTTTTCTTCGCTCGCTCGTCTCGCTTTTGAACTTTGCAGTTTTTGTCAGCGCCAGCGTCAGCGTCGGCAGCAGCATTTAGCATTTAAAAAGAAAATGCTAATGAGTTTTAATGCTAATTTTAGCTAGATTGCTTCACGCCTTCGGTCACTCAGTGGAATAAAAATAAGAATAAAATAAGAGACCAAGCTTTGGGGATTCTTTAAAATGTACGAATTTAATGGGGGATATTTGTGACCTACTTATGAATCGCATTTAAACTGATTGAGTTTGTCCTTTGGTGACGGTTAGCAGTGGGATTTGATTAGGATTTTATTTTTTTAATGCATTTAATTAAGTAAGGTATTCGTATTAAGTGGAATCAATTAGTCGTTTGTCTACGATGTTGTCAATAATGAGGCTTACTAAAGACAGACAAAGAGCGTAAGGTTAATGTATGTTCGCGTATTATAAAGTCAGTGCTGCTTTAAAAATAAGTTATAGAGACAATAAATTAATATTTTGATTTGCTAATTTTTTGGGTGAATCGAAGATTTCCTGCATATCATAACTACGCTAAAAATGCATTAATCTCAACTTGGAAAGCTGTTCTATACTATTTTTTTAAAGGCTGAAAAATCTGCCTATTTAGTTAACAAATTTAAGAAAATAAATTTTTTAACAAGATTTTAACAATTTTAACGATAACCTTGAAAAATATTGAAAAAATTGGCAAAAATTTATTTTCTCTCCTTTATGGCTAGAAAGATTCGCCTGTTGATGCTGATCAAGAATATATATGATTTATAGGGTCGGAAATGACTCCTTCACATATTTACAAGCTTCTGACTAAAGCCTAAATACCAATTTTTAGTCGATATAATTTATTTTTTTAATAAGATAATTGGTTCAACAAATCAAATTCTAAAAAACTCACAGCTAAGCCAAAAATGCATTAATTTTAAATTGGAAAGCAGCCCTGTGTTAGTTTTTAGTAGGGTAATAAATCTGCATACTCGATTTAAAATGTAAAAAAATCACAATTTTTGTCTATTTTAACGATGTAACCCCTTATAAAATTATGAAAAAAATTGGCAAAAATTTATTTTCTTTCCTTTGTGGCTAGAAAGATTCTCCTGTTGATGCTGATCAAGAATATATATGGTTTATGGGGTCGGAAATGATTCCTTCACCGTCTTGCAAGCTTCTGTATAAAGTTATAATACCCTGTAAGGGTAGAAGAATCCCCTGTGGAGAGAAGGACACTGCACAGGACTCAAAAACACAAACAGCTGGCGGCAGGCATGGGGCTTGCCTACTTGCCATCACTGTGACACTCAAGTATCTAATTGCATGTGTGTCTCCAGGCCCAGGCGGGCCCTGTGAGGATGTGTGAGTTTGCCGACTGTCGGCGGATTCAATGCCACAAATTGCATGTCTCGCACCTGTAGTGCCTGGCTTTCTTTGGCTGCCTCAAGTGGGCCACAAGTAGTGGCAGTGGCAGGAGGACAGCCCAGAGAAAAAAGTCGACAAAATTCGCTCTCCGTCCTGGCAGACATCAAAGGTGATTTCACACCGTTCCAAAAGAAAAAAAAAAGAAGAATAGAAAAGGAGACACCCCAACCTGATCCTGCAGCTTTTGGCGAAAGTTTACGACAGCGCGATTAGCTCATGTCGTTTATTTTGGCTTTTCGTAAACTTTGTCTTTGTCTCTGGCTTTGTGTGGGAACTGTTAGTGCCACTGCAGGTGGAATTGCAACAGTGCAATCCCTTCTCGGTAAGACAAGCTTAATAAGATTCCCATTTCATTTAGGGTCACGGCTCTCCTACTCTCTCCGGTCCAAAGAAGTTTGCCAATTCCCCGCAAAAAACTTTATCCGTTCCGCTGCGGTTTCTCTTACTCGGCTTCGCTTTCGCTTTCGCTTTCCGTCATCAACTGCAGCCCGAGTTCGAATTGAATTGCAAACTTTTTCCTCACAAGTCAATTTTCGCAATTAGGCTGCTGAAAGCTATATACTATACATATATAGACCACACACATTCAGACCCAAGTCAAGTTGCACGTTTGATTAAGTTTCCTGACTTCTCTTCGATCATTGCAGGCAACGTCTTCGTCATTGCGGCCATTATCCTAGAACGGAATCTGCAGAACGTGGCCAACTATCTGGTGGCTTCCTTGGCCGTTGCCGATCTCTTTGTGGCCTGCCTGGTGATGCCCCTGGGCGCCGTCTACGAGGTGAGTTTAGGTGCTCAAAGGAGCTGAAAGTGTGCGATTTATTTAAATATTTAAGCAAAGCATACACTGAAATAACAAGTATAATGGAGAGCTTGAGAAGGAAGCTACTCTCGTTTTGTTTTTTGCTATTCGAAGACATTAACTATGCTTAAGGTGTCTTTTTTGAGGTGTTAATAAAAAGCTGAGGTGCTGAATTCCGTTACACATTCATAATAATTTCAAAAAGTTAAGATATGGATACCTATCTCTAGCCATGGTATCGCTTATAGAGAATCTCTATTACAAAAACCAAAGTGCTCAATAGCATGCCGCCTATGTAAATCCTAATAGAAATCGCGTAAAAGGACAAGGTCAGCGGTTGAAACTCTTTTTCCGAATCCAAGGGTAACTTATCGATGTGTAAAAGTTCACGAAACTTTTGGAAACCTATCAGCAGCCATTTTTGGTGAAGGCCCGACTCGATAACCCTATGAAAGTAGTCAAAGAAAATGTATACCAAAGGTGAGTTCCGTGAGATGGGTAACCGGAGGTGGCGTGTTCTTGAGCAAAGCTCAGGTCCAGATATAGAATACCCCTTGGATTTCACACGTTCCTGATATAACTGAAGTGCTTGCCAATTGTGCGTTTGTATCACATGGACGACATTCTCGTTTAGGTTCAAAAAGCTTTGTTGAATAACCGGTTCCTCCAATATGTCCACCAGATCGTACAACGAGCTTGGCATTTCATTATCCTTGAATGCCTGCGGTATGGTGCGATCCAATGTCACAATCCGAAGGCCACTGGCACGCATCGACTGCACATCCGTGATGAGCGGATAATGAATTCCCGTGGTTAGGGCGCTGCTCAGTATGGACACAGAAAAGCTGATGTAGATTCCTACCCACATGAAGCAGAAGACCTCGATTATCTTGTCCGCCAGAGACAATCGACCCAACTGACCACCGGGCAGGGGAATTCCGAAGAGAAATCGGTAACTGTCGAAAAAGGATTCCACCAGCGATCGACCTCGATGGGCGATGTACTTGATCACAAACACCATGAGGAACATGCCCAAGGTTACATAGTACACACCGGGATCAATCACCTTGTCGAAATATCTGCTGACAGAAATCTTCCTGTGACTCGGCACAAGCAGGCAGGTCTGACTATCCGTCACCACTAGACTGTGGAGGAAGCTATTGTTCTCCACTAGATTAGCCACCATATCGATGGTCCGATTCGTGCCCACCTCGAGGAACTCGTAGTTTGAATTCTGCGCTACTGAGACTGGAAGAATGTCCATGGTGGCGTTAATATATCGCATGAATTCTACGATAAGGATGCCAATAGATCCTGACAGACTGATATTTCCGCCTCCAATCACATCCGCTTGTTCCGATGAGTTGTACTGCAGACAGACAATTAATTATAATATCAATATATATATAAAATCTTTCAGCTCACCAAAAATATTGATGGAAAATCATTGGCGACTTTAACCAGAAATTTATATCCGTTTTTTCGAAACATGTCTGTAATGCTTCTATCGTCAACGATCTTATCGACGGTTAGTTCTTCGAATTTATAGTAAGACCACATTTCGAACTCAGACTCACCCTGGAACGAGACCAGGGTACTGACGAATTTATGTTCCCAGCACCACTTGAAAACCTCTTTTATCATATCCAATGTCAGTGGTTTTGTGGAGTGAAATAAATAGGTTTGCTTGCCATCATATGCGTGTCCCGCCGTGTCGTTGACAGTTCCGAGTATCGGATCGTCCAGGCCAGAGAACATAACAACCACAAGAGTCATAGAGTCCGGATAATGTCGATTCTGGGGTCCCTTGTGGGATGCAACCGTATATATTGGAATAGTTAAGCGTTCCATCATAGTCTGCTCGAGGGACGGTCGCAGATTAAAGTTTCCCGAGTAAACGATAATGCTGTGGCATCCCAAGTATCGAATAAGTCCACGGACCAGATTAAGAAACTCATTAACCTCAGTCTTATTCGTTTCTCCGATATCCAATGGAATCTTTAATGGACTGCTGTCCAGGACAACAGAACTGACTACAACCAGAATGAGTAGGTGCACTGTCCGAAGGCGGTAGCGGCTCTCCATGGCTGATGTTCTCTTTCGATTTAAGCCCTTTTGCAGTTGCTTGCAATACTTTATACAAGGACATTGGTACCCATTTCTGTTTGCTCAGCTATTAGAGGACATAACATTTAACTATGCTTCGGAGTCCAATTCGAGGTGCTAATAAAAAGCGCGAGAGGTGCAGGATGAACTTAACATTTTCCGTTCAAAGCAAACACTGAGATTACAAACTTGGGGGATATATGTAAATATGTTAGCTCAGCATGCTTATCAATTGGCGTATCTGTTGTAGAGTAGTTCCAGGATAAATACCACTGTACTCAGTAAAATACCGGCTAAATACACCTTTATGAACACTGTGAAGAAATCCAGGCTCAGCGGCTTCCAGTTGGTGGCCTCGTCCAGGGGCAATTTAAGGTTGCCCTTAAGTTCTAGGTACTTTTGGAAACCCATCTGCACCCATTTCTGCTGGAGGCCCGACTCAAAAATCCAATGGAAGTAATCCGTAAAGATGAACCTCAAAGGAGAGTACTGTGAGATGGGCAATCGCATGGGCCAGCTATTGGAGCACAGCTCGGGGCCGGAAAGTCCGAATCGCTTATTAAACAAACGCTGCTGGTACAATTGATATCCCTCCCAATTGGGAGTTGCCACCACATAGACATAGTTGTCATTGAGATCGATAAAGTTCTGAGAAACTGTGTGCTCATCCATTAGGTCCACCAGGTCCGCCAAAGAGCTGGGCATTTGATTATTGACGAAGGCCTGCTTTATGGTGGGATCCGCTGTCAAAATCCGGAGGCCACTGGCTCGCATCGATTCCACATCTCTGATGGGTGGATAATATACGCCCGTGGTCAAGGCCGTACTTAGTGTAGATACACAGGCACCGATAGCTATTCCCACAAACAGGAAGGAGTACACCTCCAATATTTTGTCCGCCAGAGGCAATCGATTCAACTGACCACCTGGCAGTGGAATCCCCATCGCGAAACGAACGCTGCTAAAGAGCGTTTCCACAACGGACCGACGACGATGGGCCATGTACTTGACTCCGAAAACGGACACGGCCACTATTAACGCGATAAAGTGATAGGTTGGTCTTACTGACTTGTCGTAATATCTGTTGAAGGGCACCATCCGGCGAAGCGGCCGCACCAGGCAAATCCGTGAGTACGTCACCGTGGGACTGAAGAGGTAGCTATCGTTGGCCACCAGATTGGCAACCATGTCGACCCTCCGATCGCTGGACACTGCAAAGATGTCGCTCTGCGATTTGCTGACTGGAAGGATGTCCATGCTAGCGTTGATGTAGCGCATAAACTCCACTATAAGGGTGCCAATAGGTCCGGAGAGACTGATGTTTCCACCGCCTATCACATCCGCTTGCACCGATGAATTGTACTGCAACAAGGAGAGAGTATTAAATTTGCAAAATATTCAACAGGAAAATCTCTTGACTCACCCAAAAAATAGTCGGTACATCCATGGAAACTTGTACATGAAATCTAAAGCCACTTGATCGCATAATGCTTCTAAAACGGCTTGCTCCATCGATCCTTATCATGGTTATATTTTTTAATGGAAAGTAAGACCAAGTCTCAAATTTGGATCCGCTTCGAAAGAAGAGCAGCGGGCGAATAATCTTTCGATCCCAGCACCAGGAGAAGAACTCAAACATCTTGTCCTTGTCCCAACTGACATTACGAACTGGAACATACAGAAAGCTGAAGAAGGTACTGCCATCGGAGGAGAGGTCCGTGTCGTTGAGGGCAAACAGAGTTGGGTCATCAATGCCACTGAATAAGGTGATAACCATATTTGCAGCTACAGGATATCGACGATTTAGAGGTCCTTGCTTCGATCCGACTGAATATATAGGAACCGGGAAGTGCTCCATCAGTCGCTGCTCAAATGAGGGTCTCAGATCGAAGGTTCCCGTATAGGTGATGAAACATTGGAAGTGATGAAAATTGTTAAGTATATTGATGACACGGAAAAGGCTGGATATATCCTGGTTGATCCGCTCATGCGTTTCCTCCTGGTCCAGTGGAATCTGCATCTGGCCACTGACCAGGATGAGGCTGAAAAGGTGCCAAGTCAGCAGGTGGTAACGACTCCCCATGGCTGCTGCTCGTTTTTGACTGTCGTCCTTCAGTTCGACACTTGAACCTTTATGTTTGTGAATCCTTGTTTGCTTTGTTATTAGAGGCCATTACATTTTACACTACCACTGGGGTCGTGCTTCCGCATCAAATTTAATATGCCATCATTAACTTTTATTGTCTATATTTGAGTAACCAAGTTTTCGGTGCTATTTTCACCATTTTCCCGCTTTCAGATCAGCCAAGGTTGGATACTTGGACCGGAACTATGCGACATTTGGACCTCGTGCGATGTCCTCTGCTGCACAGCCTCGATTTTGCATCTGGTGGCCATAGCCGTAGACCGGTAAGTAATTACTTTGTTTCCCGAATACTTGATAAATTACTTGTAGAATGTGTGTAAGATATGGGCTAAGCTGTTCCTCCGAAAATATACATAAGATATATACTTCATGCTGGGGAAAACGTGGCAGTTAAGCGAATCAATCAATCAAGTTTTTAACATGTCAAATCTCTTTACAAATCCAGTAATGCACGCAGAAAAAATATGTATATATAAAACAGGCAGATAACTTGTAAACATTTCGGGCCGCCAAGGCAACAACTGGGGTGTGTCCTGCCCGCCTCAAGGATGTGTGTGTTTTCTTTTTATAGACACTCCAAGATACTTGCGAGTCCTTCTGCATTTATATATCAATTTAAAATACATATATATATTCCACCCTCACACAAAACATATATGGGAGCATGGCTGGCTGCATGCCATCAATCAATTTGCAGCAAACATTTCAATCAATCGATTAAAAAGCAGAACGCAAAACGGCAAATATAACAAAAGGGTGCGAGAGGGGAGCCCTGCCTGAATGCTCTGTGTGTGTGTGTGAGTGTGGAAAACGAATTGCATTATTCAACTGGCAAAAAGCGCGAGTTCACTCGTTGTCGATCCGAATGTCAATTTTATTGTCAAGCATCCCGAATGCCGGCTAATTTTCGTGCACTTGCCGCCAATGACAATGGGGAGCAAAATGGTTGCCATGGTTGCCATGGCAGCAGCGTGGAAAATGCCAGCAAAACGAAGTATACACCACCCAGCCTGCTCCCTGTGTAGTTGGTGTGGAAATATAGTTGTCCCGGCGTGGCCTGGGCTGGCTGGCAGTTTTATGGCCACTTAGCTGCAAGATTGGCGCAATTTTCAAATCGGCCCGCACATGGCGTATACGTAATGCATTTTGTCCCTGCTTACCCGAGGGGCTCTTGCCAGTTGTGTTTGCCTGAATGGGTGTGTGTGCTTAATGAACACACTCAAATGCAAGGGCCAGGACCTCCCTCGCCTGCGCAGTGTTGTGATTTTCGAAAAATGTTTGGTAATTTCATTTTATTAGGAAACTGAAAACAGGAAACTGGAAACTGGGCTTCCCAGCTGAAATTATATCGCCGCATTAATTGGCTAAGCTGCTGCAGGTCGATGCGGGGACCAATTATTTGGTGGTTTCAATTAGACCGAACAGTTGAGCCATAAATAATGCAAATCGCTTTCTTTGCCCCGCTGCAACGTGGCGTATACACAATATGCGGGTGGCCGCATCTCATTAAAAGGTCACCGCATAAATACACAGAGGAAATGAACAAGAACTAAAGACTTTTAAGTGGGAGTAAGGCAAAGCTTTTTAGTGTATTCTTGAGCTTAACCAATGACCTTATAAAAGGTAATTCAATTGAAACGCACATTAACCTTTTTCATAAAAACTAAAACGATATAAATAATATATTAATATATTTAATATTCCTTATTATTACCGTAGGAGTTTATAGCTATTCGAGATTAATATTTTGAAGAAAATCTTACATATGTTTATTCTAGGAATGGTAAATCGATATTTTAATACGCTAATTTTTCGGGTAATTCAAAGTTTGTCAATTATCATATCTACGCCAAAAATGCATTAGTTTCAATTCGGAAAGCAGCCCTGTGTTAGTTTTTAGTAGGGTAATAAATCTGCATACTCAGATTAAAATGTAAAAAAATCCAAATTTTGGCAATTTTAACGATGTAACCCCTTATAAAATTAAAAAAAAATTGAAAAAATGTATTTTCCTCCAAACATGGCTAGATCGACTCAGTTTTCGATGCTGATCAAGAATATATATGGTTTATAGGGCCACAAACGACTTCTTCACTTTGTTTCAAGCTTCTGACTGAATTTACAATATCCTGCAAGGATATAAAATAGAAAAGAAAGGAAATAGGAAGAAAGATGAAGCTCTTCTTTAGATCGAATGCCCGGACATACGTTGGCGGTCAGGTATAATTTGATTTGAGAAAATACCCGCTGAATGGCCACTGCGATGTGGCTGTCAATTGGCAAATTGAAGCGCCTGGCTCCGCAAATTGCCTGTCAATAAACAAAGCCAAGTGATGCTTAGATTTCGCATGCATATCAATCAGCCGAAGCCCCGGCTTTTGGGGCATTCCATCCAGAGCAGACAGGACGGGACGGGGCAGGACAGGGCCCCATCTATTGGCACCTCGCTCGCAAATGCCACTCGCCTGTCAGCCGGACACCCAGAATGAAAATGCCCAAGTCCCACTTCACATTATGATTGTATTTGAAGGAGGCGGAGAAGTCGGAGGATGGGGATGAGGATGAGGAACTGGGACGATGGACCACTCCAATGCTCGCAACGAGTATGCAAATGACGAGGCATGACAGCACCGATGATGATTCGTCCGGGTGCCACATCATCGTCATGATAAAAGGCCTTAGGTCCGGACTGCGGACTGCGGACTCCGGACTCTGGCTAAAGCCATGGCATCCGCAGGGCGGAGGGCAAAACAATTACCCGGAGAGGTCTTAGGGGCACATTTTATTTGTTAGTTGTCACTAGATATTTAAAATGGAAAGTCTTTGTTTTATCACCGAGAGTGAAATGAAAATTAATGTGCTTTTAAGCAAGCAGGCGGAAGCTGGAGCTGGAGCTGGCCCTCCCTTTGGAGCCGGAGATAGGAGCGTAGTGCATTAATAAATTAAGTTTGTCAAATGGTCCCCAACCCTGCCCTCGACTCGACTCCCTCTGTGTTTTTTGGCCCCGAAAGTGTGCCGGAATGATAAATAGTTGCAGACATTCGACTACAATAATATTTGCAAGTATTTGCCGTAAGGGCCGTTAGCCAAATCGTTGACAATGCGAGAGAGATGGTGCGAGCCCTCGGGGGAGGCGTCCATGGTTAACATTTTCCGAGTTCATTTTCCATGTCAGTAATTTTTAAGCAATTAAGACAAAGTGCCAACAGTATTTACGGGGGCGGAGGGTGGGGATTGTTGGGCATTGGATGGAGGCAAATAAAACAAAGAACACGGAAAACGGAAAAGCGAGGAGCAAGTGAACTGAGCAGCAATGCCAGAGAATTTCTCCTTTACCATTTGCCCGCACAATGGAGCCTATACACAGAGCGAAATGGAGCCATAGAAATGAATGAAATGAAAGCAACTATTCTTTGGATATTTCAAAGAATATTCTTATATTTTTTAAGCACAATATATATTAAGAGCATCCAGTAAGAAAATGGTGATCAGAGAAAGATTTAAACATTTGTAAAATACTTTGCAGAATACTTTCAATATAGTTTTACTTTCAATGCTGATAGAAACCTCATTAAAATTATTATATTTTACAAAACTATTCATATTTCCTATCCAAAAAGAAAACCCCCAAGTTTTTAGCTCAGTGTGATAAAACAGAACCAAAAACTGGAGAGACCGACAAATGGCGCCTGGACATTAATCTTCATGGCACTGACCCAACGCTTCGGCTGATTCTGTCGAATTCTGTTTGCTGGCCGCCGGAATATATGCACATATAGAACAGGCCCGGGACAGGAGCTCTCATACACACACCCTGAACTCTAGATGGGGAGCTGGGTGTGCATAAATTTCATGGTCTGCATGCTGCTGACGTCATTATTAGTGGCAGCACACGAGACCAAATACAACGGCCGCCGCTTTCGAACCGCACAGAATGATAAATGCCTCGCGGCTTTGCGTTCCATGCGATGGCCAAAACCATTTAAATGCCAAGTTTTCGCCTAGCCGTAGGGCCTCCTCGCGCCTCCCAATTTCCCTCCCCTCGGAACCAGATCATGGGTTTATCCTGATTGCTGACTGCTAACCGCATTGACCAACAGTTTGTCGGCCATGTTGCAGCCTGTTCTCGTGTTGCTCGTTGCGAGCATCGCTGTTGTCCTTGTTGTCCTTGCTATTGGTGTTGCTGCTGCAGCCGTTGTTGTTGTTGTTGTTCACACATTTATGACATATTCAATTAAATTTCAATTAAGTTAACATAGTTTTTCCGTAAATATTTTACAATTTAGCACTTAAAACGTAATTACATGTTCATATTCGTTGCCCCATCATTGAAGCTCTGGAGCTTGCTGGCTATCCTGGTAGCTATTATTATTGTTGTTGTTGTTGCTTTTTTAACCGCAACTACAGGACAACAAAAAGGATAACTGCTTGCAGCAACAACAACAACTGAAACTGCGACCACTGTGGCCCCAATGTGCTGTGTGCCATGTGTAATTGTAATTGCTGTTGTCACACGATTTTTGTAGTATTTTTTCAACAGTGACTGCAAAAAGTAGCAATAATGGGAGCCATTTTGTATATATTTTTTTACCCAAAATAACAATTTCGCCAATTTACAAATGTTGCAATAACTCAAACACAATTGAGTGAGCAGAAAAAGAGGGAATATATTATAAACTGGATATATATTCATAGTTTCGAGTTGTTAAGTGATTAAAATACATGTATATATATTTAGTCAAGGAATATAATAAAAGCCCTAAACTATATTTAATTTGTTGGGGAATACTCTAAAATACTTGAAATATATTAAGTGACACTCTCATAGCTTTTTACTCCCATTAAATATTACATTATAATATTTAAATCCTTTAAACTGTTGTATTTCTTTCTCTATGTGAAAAATCAGTCCTTCTATTAAAATCCTACCTAATTACCCGACTAGGTAACCGTGTGCAATTTTTCCGTCTAATATTTTGATTCACTTAACGCAAATGAGAAAACTTTTCATCGTCACTGTGCCACGCTCGGCCGAGTGCAAAGTGCACATTGTACTTATTTTACATAATTTTCATGCTGTCGCGTTGAGTTTTAGGCAATGTCTGGCCCGCTAACCGTTTTAGCCAACCCTTTGCTCCCCTCCCCGCGCCCTGGAAACCTTAACCCTATACCGCCTGTAAAACCACATGGCCGCAAGGGAGGAGCATAGAAGGGCTTAGAGTGGGGTCAACTTTTGTAATTGCACAAATGTTGAAACAATTTT